AGAAAACTGATAACATGTCTAGCCTGTAACTGACCCCTTGGGGAAGGTATACCTCTCCACTTAGGTCTTTTTAAATTGTTCTCAGCAATATTTTGTAGTTATCAGTGTACAGTTATCACATTTATTCCTAAATGCTTCATATTTTCTGTTATTGCAAGTGGTACTGTTTTTTTAAATTTCTATTTCTGATTATTCATTGCTAGCACAAATAAATACAATTGATTTTTGTATATTGATCTTGTCTCATAGTCATGATATGTTAACTACTTTTGTTAAATTCACTCATTAGTTTCAGTAGCTTTTACAAAGATTTCCATTGGATTTTCTACAATCCTGTTGTCTGACAACAAACTGTTTTACTTCTTGCTTCCTAATCTGTATGCCTTTAATTTACATTTCTGTGTTATTGCAATAGCTAGGAACTCCAGTATAGGAATGGTGAGCATGGACATACTTGTGTTTGATCTTAGTAAAAAGCATTTGGTTTATTTTCACCATTAAGCAGATGCTAGCTGGGAGATTTCAGGGATGCCCTCTATTAAGTTGAGAGTATCTCCTCCTCTTCCTGCTTTGCTGGGAACTTTTACCAGGAATGGATACTGGACTTGGTCAAATACCTTTTCTAGCTCAATTTTTTTCATTTTTAGTTTGATAATGTAGTTGATTACAATAGTTGTTTTCAAATATTAAACCAAACTTGCTTTGGTTTTAAAAAGGAAAGGAATTGTGCAGTTTTGAGATGTTAAAGATGGTATTTCCTCTTCTCAGAAACCACTCAAGCAAAGGTGAAAATAAGAAATGGAAAGGCAAATGCCACGTCTGACAAGAGCAGGAGAGAGAGAAATCCTAAACAAATTCGGTGGACATGATGAAAACAAAAGCAGTGTAAATTGAGTTTAAAATGGTATAAACACTTTGGAGATTTTTGTGCAGCACTTACTAAAGTTAAACATCTACAACCTTTGCAACCTAACTGTTCCACTGTATAGCAATGAGTGCATCTGACCACCAAAAGACTTGAACAAAATACTCATAAATGCTTTATTCATGATAGCTAAAATCTAAAAACAACTCAAATGTCCATCAACAGAATGAATAAATTGTTTCTTTACAGCTAATGGGATTCCATACACTAGTAAAAAGCAACAAACTATGGATAGATGCAACATGAGAAATGTGACAGAAGGAACCTGGAAAGAAGCCACACAGAAGAGTGCCTCTTGTATGATTTTATTCTGTATGTCTTCAAAAATAGGCAAATCACCAGTACCAGTGCCTCTCACTTGTAATCCTAGATACTTGGGAAGCTGAAATGGGGAGGACTGTGGTTTGAGGCCAGCTCAGGCAAATAGTTAGTGGGACCTCAATCCAAAATAACCAGCGGAAAAATGGACTGGAGGTGTGGCTCAAGCAGTACAGTGCCTGCTTTGCAAGTACAAAACCCTGAGGTGAAACCAGCCCCACCAAAAAAAAAAAACTATGGTGATAGAGATCAAATTAGTGATTGATAAACACTTTGGGGGAAGTATTGGTAAACAAGAGGCATAATGGACCTTTCAAGTATGATGGAAAGTTCTCTTATCTTTACCTGGGTGGTGGTTACATGAATGCACGCATGTACATACACTCAAGATTTGTGCATTTTAGCTGCATGTAAGAGGTATGCATGAATTATATGGATGCTTTCTTCCCAGGAATACAAGGATATCTTAATATGGAAACATAAAAATGATTTAATAAAAGAAACAAAATGTAATCCACTATACAAACAAAGCAGAACAACAATTAGTCAACATCCATTCATGATCATAATTGTTAGCAAACTATATAGGGAAAGGAAATTTTTTTTCTTTTTCTTTTTCGCAGCACTGGGGTTTGAACTCAGGGCCTCACACTTGTTAAGCAGGTGCTCTACCATTGAGCCATACCCCCATCCCTTTTTATTTTAGTTATTCTTTGAATAAGGTCTTGTATTTTTGCCCAGGCCAACAGGGACTGCAATCCTATTTATTCCTCCCATGTAGCTGGATGACAAGCATGCACCACTATGCCTAGCTTATTGGTGGAGATGGGGCTTTCACAAACTTTTTGCCCAGGTTGGCCTCAAACCATGATCTTCCCAATCTCTGCCTCCCTGTGTAGCTGCCTGTGTAGCCACTGTGCCAGGTTCACTGGAAAGGAATTTTCTGAATAAAGGCTATTAAACATTTTATAGTAACTACATAAATGTTAATAGTGGAAACTTAGTAGCAAGTCATTTTACTTCAGAATCCAATCATAAGTGACTAAGAATAACAATTCCATATGCCATTGTCTGGGAATCCAAGTGTGCACAACACAGTAAGATGAGGACCACATAGAAAGAGGCCCTATCTTGATAACATCTTTTAGATTGATGTGATTTCTGGTTTAGAGAACTGTAATTTTTATGTACTACAAATATTTTGCAAGTATACAATATCACACATCAATTTAAAAATTGGAATGGCTTTTAAGCCCCATTCATTAGGCTGAATAAAAAAGCCAGTTTAAAAAGAGTACCTACCTACTGAATGATTCCATTTGTATAAAATTCTTGAGAATGCGAACTGATTAGCACTTTGTTCAGAAACTTCCAGTTTACATCAAATATTCTGAAAAAATTCTAATTTTACTTCTAAAAGGATTTTTTTTCCTCCTGGAAAATAAAGTCTGATATCACATTTGAAGTTCTCATGAACCTTTTACTCCTTTTAGCAATATCTTAATATGGCAAAGGAGTGGGTACTGTATCCATTTTTGAAAAACAAGATTCAATCACAGCACTTGGAAGGCTGAAGCAGGAAGATTGCCCAAATTAGCCTGAGGTACCTTGTCTCAAATGAACAAAAACCCAAGATTCCATGAGAGGGAGTCAGTCAGTAAGATCATCTTATTGAATGATTTGCCAATGGTCAATGATGAGTGATTTTTAAGACAATGAAGTTTGAGCTCTGTCTTGCTTAACTAGTCAATAGTGGGCCTACATACTGGAGCAAAATAAAATTTTCATTATTTTTGCATCTCAAAACAAAGTCCAGGAAATAATTTAAATGCAAATGATGGTTCATAGAAGGCTATTTTTAAGTCTCTTATTTCCCTGTCATGACTGAATAGTGTGTAATAGAGGAGCCATTTTTAAAAATGTTTTGTAATATATGCTTATAAGACAACTGAAAAAATATACCTTATTTTTTTATTTATGATAAATTTTAAAGAGATTAAACTACTTCAGCAAATTTTACAGGCTGTGAGAAAATTAAGGACAAAAAGGAATAGAACATGGAAGGTTATGAAACTTCATAGCAAGTGATGTAAGGCACATAGAAAAATGGGGTGGAAATTAGAAATACCCCCAAAGGAAGAATGCAGGGGTATTGAGAACATTAAGCAGTCTCAAGGTTGTTGATAAGATCAAGAGTTCCAGAATCAGGATTTTGAGAAACAAGTAGAAAAGTCTTAGAAAGTCTGAGCAGGAAGGTGACAGGGAATCCTTGAAGAACAAGATGTCAAGCAATAGAGAAGGCCCAGTGAGGCTGAGTAACTCATGTTGCTTCTTCCTGAAAATCACTTCAGGTGTAATTTGTTCTAGCAACACTGAAAAGCCCCAGAATCAGAGTGTAAAAATGTCTGGACAGATGGACAGAGAAGGTTTTGAGAAGGCAATGCATAAGGGAATCACAAGGACTGGATTTTTGTTAGTGAAAAGAAAAATCAATTTTTGTAAAATGATCAAAACTCTTATCTATAAAAAAAAACTATCTTACATTTTTTGTGTCCCCTTCTATTTCTTGTTTATATCAAAGTCAAATGTGTTTGTTTCAGGTACTGTACTATGCTGGTGCCTTTGTACACCTGTCTCTTCCTTTGAAGGGCTTTATTAACTTACATTGTCTGTACCCCGTTCCTCGGCACCAGTGACTGTTAACCACTTCCCTTTGTTTGCATTTAGAAGAGTATACTGCTAGCCAGAATCAGTCATTTTCTGCTCTGGTATTTCTCTTTTTTGGGTGAGGCATTCATGTCCTTTTCAAGGTTTCATTAATAAGAACAGAAAGTTAATGCAACGTTCATGGAAAGAATTCTTTCCATCCATTCTACTTCAAGATTAGTTGCCTTACTTTTCTGCTCCCACATCACTCAGCCCTCACTGCTACACTCCACCTTCAACCCTTCCCCATATTCCACCTCTTATGCTCTTGGTTGGGCCAAGAATCCAGGATCAAGACTTGTCAAAGCTGAGATCTGTAGATCTGAATTCCCTCTGCTTTTAACTTCAGATGGAGTTTAGCACAGCTTCTCTGCCATCACCCCCACCTTTAGCTCCTTCTCCATCTCCCCCAACCACTACCAAAGAAGTTGGATAGTGTTTGCACATTACATCAAATAAGTAATGGGTTTCTAACTCATCTTCCATTTGGATTCAGGAGCTTCTTTAGTTCCAACCACTTAATGAGTGACTGTTATGTGCCAAGAATTATTTAAGATAATGTAGTGTCTTTAAATTTCTGGGACAGATGAATATTGAATGTAAACATGACTGCATGTAACTGGGAGATATAAATCAGAATTAGCCAGATCCAAAATTCCATATAAAATACTGACAATTTTGCCAGGCACAGTGACCTACACCTGTAATTGCAGCACTCATAAGGACCACGAGTTTGAGGACAGCCTGGGCTTCACAGTGAGTTCAAAGTCAGCTTGGGCTAAATAGCAAGACCATGTCTCAACTCCAGCCACCCAAAATACTGATAATTTCAACTAGGCCCTTGATTTTTCCCAATATCAAAGAACTGCTGACAACAGGGCAACCCTCTAGAGACTTTGTTAAGCATACGTGTACTGTGAAGGTTAAAATGAGTGCTAGGAAAGTATATTCAATGATTTCGAAATGACCAAAGGCCAAAGACTAAAGAGAGCCCAACCTCTTCAACTCTTAAGATCATGGTTTGGGAGATCCATTCTCTTACACAGGAATATGTCACTCTGTCCTTCCATGCCTTTATTGGTGACAGCAATGGACAAGAACAATGCTAGGCAGAGCAGACACCCTAGCCCAGCTCCTGGGGGTCTAGATAGGCCCTGCAGAGCCATTAGCACAACCAGCCCCAACCCATGATCCAATCTACCCAGGCCATGTCCCTGAATGGGCATGTCTCCGTTTGTCCAGTTTATATGTATGGATCAGTCTGTCTGAGTGTCTGAGCCGCTGCCTACAGGGTCCCCCCATCCTTGGCACATGATAGGGGCTCTTGGGAATACAGCGTGGCATCCCCCGGAGGACCACAGGGCTCCGGTGCTGACCATGGGAGACTGGGCCAGGGACTGGAGGTGGCAGGGGGCCAGGCACAAAGTTCACTCCAGGACCACATCCTACGAAAAAACCAGTCAATATCAGAGTAGGTTTCTGAGCAGGGTGAGCACAGCTCTGCCTTCAGGCAGCTCTGCTCCTCCAGAGTGTTTCTGTGGGCTTTGTTTTCCCCATCTGCAAAATGAGGACATACCTTCCCCTACCTCCAGACTGGGAAACCATGACAATCAATGAGCTGATTAATCAATGAGTCTACAAGTGCTGTTCTAGACTAAGGGACTGCTGAGACCAAATCCAATCCTGGGATACGAAGGGGCTCCCAACTCCTCTCAGTTCATCTGGGCACAGGAGGCTAGGCTGGGGGACATGCAAGGGGAGGCTGGGAAAAGTGTGAGGGAAGGCTGTAGAAGCACGTACCTAAGTTGGGTGGCATTGAGAAGTCTTCCATTGGATTATAATTGAAGAATTCATAGGGTGGGAAGGGCTGGTTTGGGAAAAAAGTGGAATCCTGGGGCAGGGGTGGGAACAAGGGAGGCGGTGAGGGCTGAGGAAGGGGGTAGGGAAAAGACATGGGAGGGGGCAAAGGAGAGGGTTGGGGCAAGGCCAGCTGTTCCTCGAAGTCTTGGGGCTGCCTATGGCTTCCCTGGAATGGATGATCCATCTCTGACCAGTCCTCAATCCATGGGTCTAGGAATGGGATGATTGTTTTAGGTGGGCCTGGAAGCCAGGTTGCCCTGAACTCTGGTTATTCACCTTCCAGCACTCTACTCCAACCTCTCTGAGAACAGGGCCACCAGCTGAAGCATGTTTCAGGTCAAGCTCAAGAGGTGTTCCTGCATTCTCCTCTCATAACTATCTGCGTCCTGACTTCATACTCCCCTCCTGAGCTTTATTTCCTTTGTTTGCTCAGTTCCTGTATCGCTATCTTTTTCTTCTCCCCAACTCCTCCTTACAGACAAATAAATAAGCCATATATGAAGAACATGCTCTCCCTTTTCCTACTAGTCTCCCTTTCCTTCTAAACTGTCACAAGGAACATTTTGCCCCATTTCCATTCCTTCATCAGCGCTGTTTCTTTTGACCCCACTTAATGCCTCCAACACTTTTCCTACTACATGTTAACACTCACTGACAGATTTAACAAAGCCCTTTCTTCCTGACAGCCACATGACATGGCCAATAGAACTCTGTCCTTCCTAAAAGTGCTTGTACTCTCATCTCCTTTTGTTTCCCCATCAGCCCCTCTTCCCTACCAACCCAAACTGTGAACTTTGTTCTGCTTTCTCCTTCAAGGTTCACACTCATGCCCCCTGCTTCTATCTCTGCTGGGTACCACTGACTGTAAATCTATTCTCTATTTCCACATTTTTTCAAATATAGCTGCCCTAATCAAACTCACCAATTCATCCTCCCACCACAAATCAACTGTTCCTTTTGATGTCCTTAATTTCCATAATTCCTAATTAGATTCAAAAGGTCTGAGCCACCACAAACTAATCTTACAACCTTTAGAATTTCCCTTCCTTCGCTAGGACCAATTCTCTCATCTAAAAAATAAGGAAATGGAATCATTATACAACCCAAGTCTCTAATTCACCTCCTTGGTGCTCCAACTCCTGGCTGCTAAGTCCTACAGGTCTGCCTCTATGATGGTTCCAGCCTTTCTGTGCACCCCCTCCCCATATTAGTATAACAAATACCACTAATAAGACTCATGCCTCCAACTCAATGAACACTATCCTCCTGGCACTATGTACAATACAATCGTGCTTGACACTGGGCTGTCAACAAGTGAGGCAGGAAATTTGTTCTTTGGGGGAATGATGCAGGGCAGAAGCAGACGTGTCAATAATCAGTCACCATGTACCCTTTGTGAGCAGGCAGGGCCTGGGAGGCTAACAAGGAAACAAATGTTCTGTAGCAGAGAATGTCACAGCTGAGGTGTTATAGGAGCAGGGCCCCCAAACAAGCAGGAGGGGTTCTCAGAAGCCTCCACCAATAACTAGAGGAGAGCAGTACTAAGCTGAGACCAGTGACCCTGGGACCTTAAGGCTGAGCTGAAGAGCCTATGAAATATTGTCTACTAAATCCATCACCATAAGACTGACCTTCTGTAAACCCTATAGCTCACGTCACATCTCTGCTCAACAAACTTCTATCCGACTATGCCATCCCATCACCCAGTCAATGGGCTTTCTTGCCTTTGCTATACTGCCTGGAGCACCTTTCCTCCATTTGTCTTCTCACCTCCCACACCCATGCCCAGCTAGAAGTAACCCCATTTCTTTCCTATTCATCTGATACTCTGCTGTATACAACCATTGCCTGCATAAGCTCCTTCATGTACACAGAGTGGAGTACATGGCTACACTGTAAACATCTGTAACTTGAACTAAAATGTTGCTGCTGTGATCTAACCATCCCCAGCGCATGAGGAAGGAGCACTCCTAAGGACCATCAACAGCTCTGCAAGGGACCCCCGACTCTCCACGAGTATCCCTGTTTTATTCCTTTCCTGAGTCTTGTGTTCTGAGGGCCCTGCCAGTATCACTTCCATCCCCACTATGTGGTAGGGCTCACCAGGGGAATAGTCCCGCCTGGGCAGTTCCACACCCCAGGCATCGGCCACGTGGGACAGAAGCAGGTGTGAGAGGTGGCGGTGTGCATGTTGGTCCCAGTGGACACCATCTCGATGACGATGCCGTACTGCATGCCGGAAATGAAAGTGCAGGTCCAGGACGTCGAAGCAGTGGTCCCCAGCCAGAATAGCACTGTAGAAGTTCCCCTCAACCACATCCCGCCGCAGAGAGCCTGCCAGGGGCTGGAGCTGATTGAGAAAGTGCAGCCTCAAACAGGGTTCTCCACCTACCAGCCAGCTGCCCCATCCCCTGTCTAGAAGGGTCCCAAACACTTGCCTCTGGTAGGAGGAAGCCCCCAGTGACACGCTCCCCCAGGGGCATTGCCATGTTCCACACCAGCAGACAGGAATCTGGCAACACCTGGTCCATGCGCACAAACACTCGTTTCAGGTTCTCTCGGTAGCTCTCCATTGAGCAGCGGCCATACCTGGTGGGTAACACATAGAGTGGGCAAGAGTACAGAGGTGGAAACCAAGTAGTATCTCCCTTTCCCTCATTCAAACCTGGAGAGATCCCAGAGGCAGGAATTGATGATCACCAGGTCTGGGGCAGGCCCATATGTCAGCTCCTCCAGGACATCCTCAAGGTACTCAGAATAAACGCGGGTGAGGAAGTAGAAGCGCACAAGGTGGTGGCCAGAAACTGAGCAGAACTGGCGGACCTCACGGTACTGTGTCCCGTTGTGCAGCTCACCCAGCTGGCCCCCAGCCACCAGCTGGTCCTGTTCAAAGCTCAGCTCCCCCTGCCCACCCCCCCCAATCCCGGCTGGTCAGACCCATGCCAGGGAAGTGGACCTTGCCAGGCCAGGGTCTGCACCCACCCACCACTGGCATGGCTGCCAAGCTTCCCTCACCTTGGCTTTCAACTGAGCAACTGTAAGCAGTGAGTCTTTCTGAAGCAGAAGCACTAGGTCCTTATACACAGCTCTCTGAACTGCAGGGAGACAGAGATCCTGAGGCTGGGGCAGATCTCATCCCATCCCAGCTCCTCCCAAGTCCAGGCCTCCTGTCTTGCCAGGACTGGGATGCCCAACACCAGCCCTGTAGAATGCAGACTTAGAGGCAGGAGAAAACGTGAGGTTAAAACACTCCAGCATTGCCTCTGTTCCTTCTAGCTGTGTCCCTCTTCATTAAGTATACAGTGACCCAAGACTATCTGCCAAGTCACCCAGGAGACACACAAAACAACCCACAGCTCCTTTTAGGGGAATTAGGAGAACGGTGAGGGAGAGAGAAGGATGGGCTAAAAAGTGCACAAGTTGCATCTGCCAGGACACCTGTGGAAGGTGTATGGAAAATAAAGAAAAAATCTAGTGGACTAAAGCAGACCACGGGGTGGACAGATCTGAGAAGGACACAGAGTGCAGATACAGACAGCAGGTGTGGGATTGAGAAGCGTCATCCTAGAGGGGCACTCACTGGAGTCCCCCAAGATGACCACGAACTTGTTGTGTAGCAGCTGCTGGACTTCCGAGGCCTGGAATTGGACCATGGCGCTTCGCAGCGGGCGGCGCAGCACCTCGTTTTCCAGACAGAAGACCATGCCGCCACCAACAACGACGGGCTGCGGGGAGAAGCTACTGAGCCGCTCGAGGGCGGGGACTCAGGGCAAGTCGGCTCCAGGGCCCTCCCCGGAATAAATGAGACCCGCGCCAGCCCTTCCCAGGTTGCTCAGAACGAGACGGAGGAGGTAACGGTTGCAGTGGGGAGGCCATGGTGGCGACGGCCTCGGTCACACCAAGCACCGGAGGCAGGGGGTCGCCTGGCCCGCAGGCCTCCAGGGCTCTGTGGCACTTCCCGCGCGGCGCCGCCCTGCGCCCCGCCACGTGCCCGCCGCCGTCCCGCGCATGCGCGCGCCCGCTCGCGCCAATTACCGAGTCTGGGGCTCCGCGCAATTCACCCGCGAGGAGGGCAGGCCCGCGCAGCGCGCCTCTCGCCCGCGGCGGGCTCGTGGTCAAGCCTCATGTCCCCGCACCCCGGGAGGGCAGTCGGTTCTGCAAAGCCTCAGCCCCGCAGAGCCCGTGCGCCCAGGCTAGCCGTCGGTGCGCAGCCCGACGCCTAGCGCTCTCCATGCGTGCGTCACGGTGGCCCCGACGGCGCCTCGGGCCTTGGCTCCCCGGGCGGCAAGGCTCACAGCTCCTACTTCCGGTCACCCATGTCCCGCCCTGCGCGACCCCTAATGCCGGAGGGGGTAGGAAAGTGGCGAGGCTGGCCGCTGTGGGGTGTAGGGACCAGAGCCAGGCCCACCAGGGCGGGCGCGCAGCCCGGGCGCGGGCGGGGTATACGGCAATAGCCAAGTACGGCTGCCCACAGTGGTGATGGCAGCGGCGGTGGCCTCGGCACGTGACTCGGATGGGCGGAAGCGGAAGTGCCGGCCTGGAGCCCGCGCTAGGCGAGTGTATCCTCGAAGCTGCCCAGCAGCCTCCTGCCAGCCATGGACTGCTACACCGCGAACTGGAACCCGCTTGGGGACTCTGCCTTTTACCGGTGAGCTGTCCCCGCCCTCCCGCCCACGGCTCCGCTTACCCCGCTCGCCCGCCCGCTCGCGTCTCCGGGCGGAGCCGGCGGTGCTCGCCCCCGTCACTACGGACGCTGGGGTCCGCCCTGCGGCGGCTCTCCCGGAGCGTCTGCTAATTTAGCACAGGGCCGCCTGTAGGCAGGGAGCCGGGCCTTCTCATGCTCCAGAAAAGGAAACTGAGGCAGGCGCGGTGGCCACCTTCGAAGCCCAGGTCTGTCGGCCTCCGGAAGGATGCTCAGATCACGTTTAGGGAGGCCGCCCGCGGTGACAGCCAGTGCCCAGTCTTCTGCCGGAAAGTGCTGCTGAAGTCAGACCACAGGGGCGCTCGGAGGGGGGCGGGATTGCACGGCGGGCGGGGTGACGGTGCTGACCAAGGCGAGTCGTCAGTGGATCTTGGGGGTGCACGAGTGAGGACCCTGGGATTAGGGGTAACCCTCCCATGGGAGTTGTAGTGTCTTAAACCACGAATCTTTGTAAGGTCTAAGCGGATCATATCATTACCCTTATACGGATTTTTTCAGTGACTTCCCTTCCTTGTAAGATAAAGAAAGTAAGTACTAACTCCTTGTGGGACGACTATCTGCCCACGATTGTCTTTCCAACCTCATCTGCCTCTCTCTTACCCAAATCCGGGTAATTCCAGGGCCCCAAGGCACTGGATATTTCATGGCTTTCTGTGTTTGTAGAGGCCTGCAGTTCCTTTTGGGACACTGCTGTTACCGTCTTTATCACACTGAAGAATTCTTGCTCATCTTTCAGAACTTAGTTCAATCGTTCTTTCTAGAACCCTTCCTGGTCTTTCTCCAATAGAATCCCTTGGGCCTCACAGGTTCCAGTACTAGCGTCTGTTATGTGTGGCACAGAAGGGCAATATTTGTATGTGTTTCTTCTGGTAAACCAAGTTCCTTGGGAGCATGTGTCTTGCATTTCTTTATCTCCAAAGCATGTGTAGAACAGTGCTTGCTACCTAGTAGTTGCCCAATAAAAATTTTAAAGAATGTTATATTTATTGCACCTTAAGATCACAGAGGTATTACATTTGGGCCATTTTTCAATGGGAGACATTCCTTTCTGCCAATGAAACTATGTACCATGTTCATTCTTGTATTCAAACTTTTAAATGGAATTTTTTATTCACAATGTAATACATTTCCTACACAGAAATGCCTTGTGGCAGTTTTTAGAGCTCTGTTGCGTCTATTTATTTACAATTCTACTCTTTTAGAAATAATGCCTCTACAATATGAAACAATGATTTCAACCGTGGAAAGGGAGAAGGAATATCAACTGACAAAGGTAGCCATATCATTTACTGTTCGCACATCAGTTAGCTGACACAGCATTCACTTTTAAAAATATTAACCCTTGCTACTTTTGAAAATACGTGTTGCCTACTCAGACTTGTTAAGTCAAATCGTATGCTAGACAGTGACCTCATTACCACAGAGCTCCTGTTTATCATATCAAGTTTTAGCTTTGTGGATACACCAATAAAATTTTAACCAGGTTTCTATGGCTTCACCTATAATCCTAAACGAGGGAGGCTGAGATTGTGAGAATTGTGGTTGAGGCCAGGTCAGGCAAAGAGTTCTTAAGACCCCCTCCTGAACCAATAGCTGAGTGCAGTTGTGCATCTCTGTCATCCCAGCTATGGCGGAGATTGAGATATGGAGGATCATGGTTCCAGGCCCAGGCCAGCCCTGGCAAAAACGTTCACAAGACCCCATCTCAAGAGAAAAAAAGCTGGGTGTGTGGCTCATACCTGGCATCTCAGCTACAGTGGGAAGCATAAAATAGGAGGATCATGGTCCAAGCCAGCCTAGACAAAAAAATTAGACCTTGCCTCCAAAATAATCAGAGTAAAAAGGGCTGGAGACGTAGCTCAAGTGGCAGAGCACCTGTCTCTCCTGCATGAAGCCTCGAGTTCAAACCCCAGTTCTGCCAAAAAACAATATTTTTTAAAAAAGAATGTGAGTGTTGATTGCCATAGGCCCAGACCTGAGTGGCTAGCCTGCCCTTACGAGTGCTGTACTACCAGAAAGGACTGGGATCTAAGCTTTGTTGTGGAGCATACTTATGTTCTAAGTTACTAACATTGATACTTCTTTATCAGGTAGATGATATGCTAAGTTCTTTATGGGTATTAACTTCATTAAGCCTCAGAACCCTGTAAGGTAGATAATTAGCCCCATCTACTGATGAGGAAGGGGAGGGAGACAGACCAAGTTACATAGACTCAGTTGCACATTTGGTAAGTGGTGGACTCTAGTTCTAGACTCTGCTAAAGCATAGAATTTAAAAAAAAAAAAGGAAAATATAGGAGCATGTTCTAGGTTTTCCACCAGAGTGAAAATGCTTTAAGGGCAAATACTTGATTTTGTTCATATGTGTACATAGCTGGGACTTAACCCACGTTCTAGTAAATGAATGAGTGATAAACAGATGAGGGACATTACTTTTTGAGTTCTAACTGCAGGATAGGATTCTTTGACATTGGAAGTACTCTCCAGTTCTTTCAGAACTCTCTGAAAACAAGGTAGGAAATGGTGACTAGAGGTATACCTATTTTTATCCTAAAAAGTACAACTTGAGAACAGGGTGCCAGTGACTCACACCTGTAATCCTAGCTACTTGGGAGGCTAAAATGGGAATGAAGAACATATGTAAAGGTCCTGAGGCAGGAAGAACTAAGGCACTACTGTTGATCTGAAGAGGGCCAGTGGGTCTGTGGTGCCATAGGCAAGAAGGGTAGGACATGAGATGAGGTTGATGTCCTTCGTCAGGGGTCACACCCTGCAAGGACTTTTAAATCACCTTTATTTGAAAAACACTGGGAAGTTTAGATCAAGGGATCCTAAAGAAAGGATTGATGTGATTGGATTTGCAGGGTGTGAGGAATATTATGTGTTAAAGTTCTTTAGGGGGAACAGATTGGAAGGGGCAAGCAAGAATGGAAGTAAGAAGATTGGTGGAATAGGCCATTGTGGTGAGCACTGGGTTAGTGATGGTGGAGGTGGAAAAAGCCAGTCTGAGAGATTCAGCAGGTGAAAAAGAAGGAGCTCCTAATGATTGCACTTGGTGCAATCAAGGATGACAGGTTTTTTTGCTGAAAATCATGAGAAAGGAACAGTGAGCTTGGCAGAACAAAGGGTGGCTTTGGTTTTGAACACATTGAGTTTTAGGCACTCTAGAAACATCCTTATGGAAAAAGGAGAGTGAAACACCCTGAAACTATTCTTAGAAGGGAGGGAGATTCTTTTAGTACTGTGGTTGTGCTTTGTTTTGCTTTTCTGCATAAATGAACATTTTTTAAAGTGTAGTTAAATTGTATACATACCATAAAATTTATCATCGTAACCATTTTTGACTGTACCATTCAATAGTGTTAGGTATGTTGATAGTATTTTGCACTACTTTTTAAAACTTTTTCATTTTGTAGAACTGAAATCCTATACCCATTAAATAACAGCTCCCAATTTTTCCCATCCCCTCAGCCCATGGCAGCCATAATTCTATTTTCTGTCTCTATGAATTTGACTAGATACTTCATATAAATGGAATCATATAACATTTGTGTTTTGGGGACTGGCCTATTTCACTTAACATGATATCCTCAAAGTTCATTCATTTTATAGCAGAAGTCATCATGCCCTTTTTAGGGCTGAATGATACTCCATTGTGTGTACATACCACATTTTCCTTATCTCCTTTTTCATCATTATGTTGGTTATGGAGAATAATGCTGCCATAAACATGGATGTACAAACCTGTTTAATAGGGCTAGGCATGTATGTAGCTCCATGGTAGAGTCTGTGTTTAGCATGTGGGAGGCCCTGGGTTTGATCCCTAGCATCACACATACCAAAAAAAAATCTCTTTCAGATTTTGTTCCTGCTTTCAGTTCTTTTGGGTATACCCAGAAGAATCATAGTGGAATTCTGTCAGTTTTTTTGAGTGGCTGCCATGCTATTTTCCACAGCAGCTGCTGCACTGTTCTAGATTCCTACCAACAGTGCCCAAGAGTTCCTTAATAACACTTTGTTTTGAAACAGGATGGAGGTGAGGGATTTCAGGAATGACAGTGGGCTAGAGCCTGAGGATTTGGGAATACTGGAATATTCCCTAAGGTTAGACTTGATGTGTACCTTCCTCTGCAGGGCGCTATTCCCAGAGTCTGTTTCACACAGGGCTCTTTTCACATTGTGGTGGACCAAGCTCCAACAGCTCAATGTATAGCTGCAGGAATTTTTCACTGTTTTCTTCAGGGCTGGAATTGAGGGTACCAGAACTGCCAGGTATAACCTTGGCATTAGAGTCTAAGGTTCGTTTATTGAGATTTCCATTTCTAGGATGTAGGAGTGAAGGAGAAAGATATATCATCCTTCAGCATCGAAAGTCTGGGACATCCTTACAAACTCTGAACCTTAGGTTTTTCTGAGAGGCTGCCCTTCCAGTTGTCCTTCACTCTACTCATCCATATTCCAGACCACTTTCGAGACCCAGCTTGAGTCATGGTCCCAAAGAAGGCTGCTTTACCTCAAAGGCTTTAGTTGGTGATCCATGCATTGTTGCTCTTCACTCCTTGACCCTTATTCCTGAATTCACTTCAAGGCTCTTTTATGCCTGGCTCTGCCTCCTTGCTTCCTGGTCTGTGTTGCTGCAAACCTCCTGGACCATAACTCAGACTGATTAGAGGTTCTGGCCCATAGCCTCCTAGGCATCCCACTTCTTGCCACCTTCCAGAGTGATTTAAATGGCTGCTAGTTTCATAGTTCCATGACCTCTACTCAAGTGATTTTACCCACCATAACCATGCCTTCCCTGAGTCCCACCCAACTCCTGTTCT